ATCATCGTCATCATCTTTTTCATAATCATCTTCAGTAACATCAACGTCGTCTTCACCAAAATTGATTTCAACAACATAATTTTCATCCTACTAGTCCTACTATTACTACTACTAAAACTATACTACTACTACTACTACTACTACTACTACTACTACTACTACTACTACTACTACTACTACTACTATTGCTACTAATACCACTACTACTACTACTACTACTATTACTACTACTACTACTACTACTACTACTACTACTACTACTACTACTACTACTACTACTACTACTACTACTACTACTACTACTACTACTACTACTACTACCACTGTCACTACATTCAGATCGACAACGACACCAAACAATCGATAACAACAACAACAACAACAAAAATAATAATAATAATAATAAATAAAAAGTAACAGAAGAATCGCATGGCGCATAATTACACCCCTCATCATTTTAATTACCTCAGCACATCAGCACATCCCTACACATCTCTCTGATCACGTGATCGTTGCCATAACAACCTGGTGCTGGTCTCGGCGCTTTCCATATCTTTTTTTTAATCTTCGCCTTTATACTGTTTTTTTTTAATAAAAATCAATTTTTTTCATAGAGATGTCTTTTGATTTAATTTAAATTAATCCGTTTTTAATTAAATATAACAGAAAATATTTAAATTTAATTACATTCTATTTAATGATTTCATACAATTTAATTTATTTTATTTTATTTAAACCTTGCTTGTTTCATCTTGTCTGAATATTTCTAAAAAAATTTGAATTCTTAATTTTGTTGATGAATTTTTGTTGAAATAGCTATCTTTTGCCGAAGCACTCATTAAGCTTTATACATATGTAGATACACATTTGATACACGTACACATATCCTATGTACATACACAAATATGCGTAGATATACACATGTATACACAATACATACACACACACATACATATATATATATTCAGACATGTGTAATGATGTATAGAAATGGATATATGAGGCACCGATATGCGTTAAAAATACTTAGGCTTTTTGAAACTATAGCAAGTTTATTTTCATATATTTGAATAAAATATTATATAAACACATAAATATATAAATTTAATATTCATATTCGTGTTAAAATGTATGACCGGTTATGAATTTTCATAAAATCTATTCCTTTTTGGATTTTCCAAATTCAATTTATTTATTTTTATTTATTTTTAAAAGCTTAAAGCCAACTGTTCCAAATATGCCCTGTTTTTTTTTATCATTCACAAAATATTGTAATTTAAAATTTTTTCAGAAGAAATTTGTTATCATATGTACAATTACGTGGCAAATAGAAAATAAAAGAGAAGATTTCTCTCAAAAGCCGGCATCAATTTACGTGAAATTTTAATTTTTTTTTTCAAAATTTTTGATGAAAGAAACAATCTCAAACTTCAACATTTCATTTTTTATTTTTGAATTTCTAACGAGTAGCACGTATTTATTTTATCCTAAAAAATTAAATAAGCCAATGGATGGAAAGGTAATACGTGACACAATATTGATTTAAAGACATTTAATAAAACTTTCCAAATCTCAAACTTTGTCAGGTTTTAAAATATTACATCTTTGAATTTTTAATTAATTCTCACGAAATGTTGATTACGAAAAACAGAAAAAAATCGAATAAGATAGAATGTGTAGACCTTTGGTCAGCTGCATTTCAAGGTCCATCTCTTCCTTCTTCATTAAGAAGGAAAGTTTAAATTTGATCCATGGCTAAAATGGCGTTTTCATATTTTTCATCCTCATTGTCATCATCTTCATTATTCTCTATTCCATCACCGTCATGAGAGTCATCGTCATCGTCATCATCATCACCCTCCTCATCATCATCACCATCATCATCATCTGTATTATCATCATCGTCGTCATCATAATCATAAACATCACCATCATCACGATGAAACAATTTTAAATAGTGATATTTCAGTGAGACGCACGCTGAATGCAAGCAGTCGAGCCTGGCAGTGGAGGAGATTATGAAGTTCCATCATAAAGTGCCGCGTGCAGTTAAATAGGAAATGAAACACTTTAATTCAGTGTGCAAATAGATTGACTAATGAGTTTGGCATTCCGAACAGTAACTCAACTTCTCTCTTTCTTACTCTCTCTTTCATTTCTATTTTTAATCTAAATCTTTTACCCCCCCTTTCTTTCTCTCTTTCTCTCACTGTTTCTGTGTGTGTTTCCACTTTCCGTTTCTCTCTTTTTTTCCCTTCATTCTCTCTCTCTCTATCTCCCTCCATCTCTTTCTACATTGTCTATGGATGAAGAGCATATTGCAATCAATCAGGATGTTTGGTAATGCGTTGGACATCATTACGAATGATAATAGGTCACTACCAAATATAAATTTATGTTAGTATGTATGTGTGTGTAATAATGCGTATGGCTGTATGTGTCTGTTTGTATGAGTCTGTTTGTATGTATGTGTGTGTGTGTATAGACGTGCGTGTATGTTTTTGTTTGTATGTATGTTTTTGTATGTGTTTTTTGTATGTGTGGCTTAATGTGATTATATTTGTTTACGTAGCATTTATCGTTTATGAGTTACGTTATAAGAGTATTTATAAAACTGTAAATTTCACGATGATGCTGATTAACATTTGTTTTAACAAAAACCTGATAAATCTACTATTAATTCGAATTCTTTTCAAATGTCAACTGAATTAGTAGCAATTGATCGATCTTTTTTGTAATAATTAATCTATAATAATAATTCATTAAATTTAACCGTTTTTTTCAAAGTAATTGAAGTTTCTTAATTATTTATTTGAAAAATTCAAACTCTGAAAGACTGTAACAACATGCAAGACAATAAGTATTATAACATTAATGAAATAAATAAACAGAATTAAAAGAAACATACATCAAAATTAGAAAAATAAACTTGGAAACTAATAGATTAATAAATGAATTAATTGATGACTGTTTAGCAGCAAAGAGCAGATCAGTCATATAGGAGGTAATGTTTGAAGAGTTTGTTTATGTTTATTTGTTCCCCCAGGACACGCTCAGTGAACTTGAGTAGTTGTTTTTTGTTGTTGTTTATTTAATGTTGTTACCGTTTTTGTTGTTGTTTGTTTAGTGTTGTTGATATGTTGTAGTTTTGTGTTTAAGTAAATGTCTTTAAAATTGTTTTCATTCTAATCAATAGGCAAATTTTGAATTTTTTTCAATCAGGTTTTTAACTGAAGGAAATTTTTTTACGATGTTCTGGTTTTTCCAAATTTTAAGAGACATATACAGGCAATCTTTTTAAGTACATATTGAAAATAAAAAAAACAATGATTCAATACAAATTATAAAATATAAAAAATATTTCATCAATATTGCTGTTAGAAATAACCCAAAGAATATCGCGTAAATGAATAATTGAAAACACGTGTGCGTGTGTATATCATGTACGTGTGTATATATATATGTATGTGTATACTGTATATTCACTCGAATGTTTGCCTGCGTATGTATACATATTCGTGTATGTCTGTGTCACTATGCACAGATGTATAAAATGCGACAGCCTCTCTTTATCTCGCAGAATTGCGCTCTGGTCTGTTCAGTGTTACCGACCTACCTAGCTAAAATATCTTTTTATAGAATCTTTTTCTAGCCCTTATATTCATATTATATTCATATATATGATTTTATTTAGTGTTTTATTTTGATTATATGAAAATGAATATAATTGATGGGGTTTTAATGTTAACGATTTGTTTTATAGCGAGAATAATTTGAAGTTATGATAATCAAAATAAGTGTTTGGTTATTATTATAATAATGTTTGAAAATTATTTACAATTACCATGACGTTTATTGACCAGAATTAAATTTCAAATATCATCACAGACGCTCACTAAGAATGGCGTGAAATTTATTAAAATTATTAATGAAAATAAAATATTAATTGTAATAAAGTTAAAAATAAATTCTAATAGTTTAAAAATTTTATTTTAAAAAGAAAATTCTGCGATTTTTTAAACTTCAATTTGCGAGTTATTGGTCCAAGAGAACTGATAACTTGCGGGGGAACACCATCGTTTGGAGATTCATATAGGCACATCTCTTGACATCGTTTTTATATACAAAACATAATTGATTAAATTAAATTAAATTAGTCTGATAATTAAACTTGCAGATTTAATTAAATTAAATTGATAAACTCATTTTGAAATTGGCCACGAACAGTTAAGTTAGTTTTTCTACCTCGTTTTGAGTATTACTAGATACATTTTTCAAAATTATTCATGATGTCAACAAAATGGTGAACACTGGTGAATTTTCATTCATAACGAAACTGAATAAACAACTTTGGTGGCATACAAGGCGTTCAACAACAGACTGACTGATGTGATTGGATTATTTCATGACCTGCAAAATTTTTACCCAAAGAAACGCCGCCGTGTCATAACAACTAATCCGAAAAAAATTTTTCAAAAGTCTTAGAGGGATAATTTCAATTTCCTTTAATCACAGCAGAATTATTCTCAAAATCGTCCTTACTTATCTTGTCATCATCATCGTAGTGATAAAATACAATAAAAATCACCAGCATCTTCACCGTCGTCGTTGCCATTGTCCACAAGAAGACAGTAACGCAACATTTGTTGTCATCAACATATTTGTCATCAACTTCACTGAAGCAAGATTGGACCAACAGCAGATGACATCATTTTATTGCTACTTCCAACAATGTCTAAACTTTAATGTAATGAGAAAACGGAATGCAGTTGCGTTGGAAAAAAGCGTTTTTGTGTGACATTTAACAACAACAACAACAACACTGAAAAGAACATTTTTGTTACGATATTTACCAACATTAACCACATTTGAGTCTTGTTGGCGTCTGTTGAAAATTGTAAAACATGCTTAAGCAACACTGCTTGCAAATAGGAATTTATGGAGTGCTCATTGTTGCAAAAGTTTTTTCATCTTTTGTCAACCCGGCAGGTGAGATTAACCTATGCTTTCGTAGTTCGGGATATTGGTGCTGTCGTCATCGGTGTTGATGTTTTCGTGTTGTTGATGCTGTTGTTGTTGTTGATGTTGTTGTTGTTGATGTTGTTATTGTTGTTATTGTTGATGTTGTTGATGCTGTTGTTGATGTTGTTGTTGTTGTTGATGTTGTTGTTGTTGTTGATGTTGTTGTTGTTGATGTTGTTGTTGTTGATGCTGTTGTTGATACTGTTGTTGATGTTGTTGTTGTTAATGTTGTTGTTGTTGATGTTGTTGTTGTTGTTGATGCTGTTGTTGTTGTTGGTGTTGTTGTTGTATTGTTGTTGTTTTTGTGTTAATGACATTCTCGTTGTTGTTATTGCTGTAACATCAATTTTATTCTATAATCAATACTGTTAGAAGGTTGCGTGGTCAACATGCCTAGATGATCTTGTTGCAATGTATTTTAGTGTTATTATGGAAAAATTGATATTTTGGTTATTGGTGTCTTGTATGCCTTTTTGATTTTTTTGATTTTGAAAATGACTCTCAATATTATAGAAGTTCATTCTTTACTAGACTAGATAGTGTTTCTACTGACAGTTATTATTGTTTAAAGAGTTATTAGAAGAGTTTATTCATTAATTTCTATGTAGGTACGTAGGCTTGCTGGTTGAGGCAAGACCAGTGGAAGTTTCAAATTTTTTTTATTGACTGTAACTTAGATGACTTCTAGATGAGCTTTCAAACGTGAAAAAAAGACAAAATAATCAGACGATAGGGCAAACTTTGCTAAAATTTCATAGGCATTTTAAAAAGATTTTTAATTTCTATTTTTTCTAAACTAAAGGACAAAAATAACAGATAGGATTACAGATGAAAAGTTTCTTGTTTTATATGTTACCACTGGAATAATGCTGAGTTAATGTTTATATGAAAATTTTTTTAGCCAGATTGTTAATTTGAATTGAAAATAAGGTGATATTTTTCCTTAAAAGTCGTTTCACGGTAAGAGTAGTTGTTTCAACGTTACAACGAATCAAATTTGTTGCTGAGATGTTTGTATTATATTACTTTTATGCATAGTTCATCCTATATACTGAAACTTCAATGTTGAATCGAAGAATGTTGTTCAGTTTGTTCACTTCAGTGCACTTGGGTTGATGTCATTGTTTTATTGTTGTTGTTGTGATTGATGTTGTTATTGTTGCTGATGTTATTGCTGTTGTTGTTGTTGTTGTGATTGACGTTTTTGTATTGTCGTTGACGCTATTGTTGTTACTGTATTTTATTGAATTTAAACAAACCAAATGAGCGTTCATTGAGAAAGAATAAAATGCAAGAAAAAAAATTTCTTTAGAAAATGCGTGCAAGTCCTTTAAAAAAATTATTATACTGCACTCTCTGCAGAAAATTTAATCATTTTGAAAATATCTTTAAAAACAAAATCGTGTGCGTGAATACACTGGAGTGCTTAACTAGACGTATAAACATTCGACTCTTTCACATAATTATTTACTTTTTTTTATTTTTATTATCAACTATAATTTTCCAAACTTATCAGTTCATATAATTTCAGTGCACTTGAAAAATTCAAATTAACTGTAAAAATTGTATTTATAGAATAAATTAATACCGGTCAGTTTTTATTATATTTTAAAACTTGTTGACAGGAAAATATTTTATAAAATATATTCTTAATTTTGAAATTAAAATTGATTTATTTTAATTTTAACACCTTACGATATGATTGGTTGGTAAAAATGAACAGCCGGGCATAAAAATTACTTTGTCATAATGTCTACTTATTTCTATATACTAATTAACATGATTCCATACTTTTCGTTAGTTAGGTATTTGTCAGTCATCTGTTTGTCTGGGTAGGAGTTTGTTTGGTTATGAAAAGATCTATTATTTTTCAAGATATTATACTCTGCTTTTTAGATTTTAAATTTTTATCAAAGTGTTTGTCAGAAAAATTGAAAATTTTGAATTAAAAATCTAAAATTAACGTCACAGTAAGAGTACTTTTTATTTAGCTAATAAGAACGCCTGTGGTTGTAGAAGCTAAATAATTTTAAAATGTTATTAAATTTAGAAAAATATCAAGGTGAAACTAAAAACAGAATAGAATAAAATAATAAAAAATGGATTTACTCTGTCAAGATAACCATGCCAGTTGATTTAAATTAATTAAGAAACAAAATCACACTGAATCCGTACTCTACGACTAGTCTGAGCTTTTTGTGAAAACTAATTAGTGCAATACGTTGGCTTAGAGAATTGATATCGCAGTTAATGCTGCCTCTTCTTGGCATATTGTTTTTTTCAAACAATTAAATGCGAACATTCAATAGGAGGTGCAAATTTCTTTACTCTTACTACGGTCTGTACTTGAAGTTGTTCAATAATTTTATAAATTACAAACGTTACATTTGAAAAAATTTTTTTTTATAGATTTATCTGTCCGATTTTTTTTATCTTTATCAAGGAATAAATATTTAATTTATTTGTTTATACAGTTTTTTCATGAATTAGTATTAACTTTAGTGTTTTAAATTGTTTATTTATCCACAAAAAAGTAATTAACTGGGAGTATGTGCAAAGGCATGTCCACAGCAGAAAAGACTTCCGTCTAAATATGCAAAATATTCCTGGTTCAATCTTCTATCTACAACTACATTCTTATATATCTACCTTTTTACAAATATAACTACCTACTTACCTAGGTACCTACCTACCTACCTACCTACCTACCTACCTACCTACCTACCTACCTACCTACCTCCCTCCCTCCCTACCTACCTACCTACCTACCTACCTACCTACCTACCTACCTACCTACTTATCTACCTTTTTTTGTTGACGAACTGTCTGTTGTGACTTTGAATTACACGAGGCAAACTCCTCTTAAAGAACATAAACAACTTTTTGAAAATTATTTATTCTGTATATCACTGAAAATGGTTACATGGTATTAAAATGATTATGATATATTAGAAAACAGTTCCCTTTTAGAGAACCACTACGATTAAAAGACAAACGTTTGAAAAAAACTGTTTTACGTTGGAATATTCTTTGATGAACGCCAGACTAAAAATATTTCCTCCGTGGAATGGAGCTATAATTCAACGTGCAAGAATAAATAACAACACTGACGTATGAAAACTGAATCTTGTGCAAGTTTTATTGCAAACCATACACTGAACCAACAAGAGAAACTTACGCTGGGTTAGTCACTTTTATCATTGGTGAAATTTGAAACCGCACACACAAATCTGATTCCAAGAATGGCAGAAACTTTTAGAAATAAAAACAGAAAAACTATTTGGTGAACAGTTGTGAGACAAATGAAAAAGTTTACAAAGGATTTACAACATGTGAAAAAGAATAAACAAATTCAAAGAACATAGGCTCGAAAATTTATGAAGCGTCAAGTTAAAAATAAACTAAAAAAGATGATTTCAACAAAATTTATTTTGCTGTCTTTTGTCAGTCTTTCAAAATTTTTGTGAAAATAAGTGAAATACAATAAGATGAAAACAACGTAATGCAAGTTGAAAACAGATAATAATACAAATTTAAAACAATAAATAATATAAAACATTCAGATAAATACAATTGAACATACAAAAAAAACATAAACAGAACACGTCCGACAATCTCCAAACCAGCATTCAACCAAAAAGGTTACAAAAATGTAAAATGTCAAGAGATATAAAAACAAACACCTAAACAAAACACAAATATCTCAGTGAAACAGAAGAAAACGCCACAAAAACAACGACTAATACCGAAACGAAACAACAGAGAATACCTCAGGAAAATGCATAATATGCCGGTATGAATGGAAGATATACTAATGGTCGCAAGCTCGACTGTTTGTTGCCGTGACAAGCTGCAAACAAAACATTCTCAAGTGTGATGAATATGTCATGACAACACCAACTTTCTACAAATATTTTTTCTGCTTCCGTCTTTGTTTGCATTTCACATACAAACTTCCATTTTTTCCACTTTTATTGTTTATTTTTGTCTCCATATTTCTAGTCATTGAAATTTTTTTCATTCTTCTTCGCCCTTTGTTTGTTCAATTTTTTATTTGCTTTATCCAATCAGTGCGTCAATGTTTACTTTACTCAAATCAATGTGTATGCTGTTTATATAAATATGTTGGTGTATGTGTTATATTTATTCTGTTTTAATATGTACGTACAGTTGTATATGCATAGCTGTACATGTGTATATGTGTATATTGGTGAGAACAATTTATTCATCGTAGAATGACAATGATATCTAACGCTGTGGCGGATCCAGACAACTTTGATGGGGGCCAAAATTGGGATTTCAATTGGGATTGGATCTTCTCGCAATTGATTGTTTTTTCATTTACAATACATGAAAGTTTGTATTTATCGCTTACTAGTGACTTTTTTTAATATAGCTATAAATTACGTAGCTTATTGATCGTAAAGTGAAGTATAAATATCCTGGAATTATTTCAATCCTGTGTCCATGTTTTGGGAAGTAGAACCACGAAAGATGTTATAATGTGAAAAATGGTTTTGGAGTGTATTCAGGCTAAGAAAAGTTTGTGAGATGATTTGGAGGAAATATTCAGTAGTGAGTTGGTAAGAGAAGATATGAATGCTACGAGAGTGATTATTCTTGGGAGAGGTGAGGTACAGACAGCTTTGTTGCTCCAGACGCTTATCAACCATATCAACCTTGGTATATCACGGGATTTGTTGTCTACACGCACAATAAAAAAAATAATTCCATGGAATAAAAGAATTTTTGAACAAATAAAATATTTTATTAGTGTTTGTTGTTTTCAGTATAACGAAATGATTGCAAGAAATACAAATCAGTCAGAAGTAATTTGAGTGTGAAATTGAAGAGATATTTAAAACGTGGAAGCAAAAAAAAAATTTTCTAAAAAAATATCTTTGATACTGAGTATGAAGTAATAACACGTGAGTGCGTGAGTATCTGAGTAAGTGAGTGAGTGCAATAAGTAGGTGAGTATGTGAGTGAGTTAGTGAAGAAACAAATGATGTGTAAACAAGTTTGCAACTTAACGATTGATTCATAAATACTTATAAATAAAGAAGATGGTGTAACGATGAAAAAAACCACATTATTTCTTTAATAAAGCTTGCAGGTTTTAAGTGCCAACAATGCACACGGAATCCCAAAGTAAACCACAAAAATTTTACCTCATAAAATACGCGCAAAATGGGAGGTAAAATGATAAAATTTGTCAATATTAAAAAAACAATCCTGCATAATGCAAAAACACATAACATAACATAAAGATTTATTAGCGCAGTTGACAAAGTTATCGTTTTATTAACAAATAGATTGCTTTCCAGTTATACTTAATTTAAAAGTCCTAACTAATTCAATCAAAAAGAATTTTAAATTTCTTGACACATTTTGCATTGACTCTCTCGGGGGTAATGAGTTCCAGACTGCTATTGTTCTAGTATTTACAAACGAATATCTTTGCAAATTCGTCTTTGAAAAAAATTTTTTCGATAATTTTTTATTATGACTTCTGATTCTTGCGACAACATTCAGATGGAAATTAGAATACTACAGAAAAGAAAAAAATTATACTCGATGACATCAAGTTATATGTTTCGCCTAAATTGTCTTGTAATCTATTTTGAGCTGCAGCCAGGAACACCTGGCAGACAAGGAGCAGCAAGGATTATCTCTGTCAATCCTGGACCAAAAAACCAAAAATCTCGTTGTTCAGGTGTGAATATTTTATTACAAATGCAGTTAGAACTTTGGCATCATTTTAGAATACCCATGATTATTGCAATGAGAGGTTTGGCCTTTGAATGTACGTTTGAGGGATAGGATCTGTGGAGCTATTGCCCCCAAGCATTTTTTAGCTTATACACATATACCTATAAAAGCACATAAACATATTACACACACGCACTCACACACGCACACTCATACACACTCTAACACACACACATACATAAACATACACACTCACACTTACACACACGTACTTACATATATATTATGAAGGTGTCGTGATGTATTTCTTCAGAGTTCTTCGAAGCCCAATTTTTAGATGTTAACAACTTTCCTGCAAGCAGTGCATTCAGCAACTTTTTCTGTTCACTCCAATATACAAATATTTTATTGAGCGAACGTATTTTTAGCTCGAAAGCTTTTAATTAAAACTTAATTTGAAAAAAAAATTTTTTTCTTAGAATAAAAAAAGTTATTAAAGCAAAATTAATCTTCGGATGTTCATTAAAACTGAAGCTTTGAATGCACTGCACATGCCATAAACTAGGCATAAACAAGTTGTTAAAAAATTGATTTTTTGCAGTTTTTTTGAAAGAAAATATCATTATATCTTTTTTGCTGTTTTCATTATCGTTATTATCATTGTTATCATTTTCATGGGCATCGTTATCACGGCACTTGTCAGTTAAGTTACCATCAAATTTATAAGCTTTCTTTTTAATGCAAAGACCAACTATCTCTTATTCTTTTTGAATGTTAGTTGTCTACTGACCACACGTTTGTGTGTATAAATGAATTAAATGGCTCTACCTAGACAGAGCTTTTATGAAATGACTATAAAAACATTTTCCAAAACGCAATAACAAACCAAAAACAGCATCTTTTTCAAAACTAATAACATTGAAACAAACGAATCAAAAAACTCACTAGAGCCATCATTTTATAACATAAACCACATTGCAACAACTACAAACAACTACACTTTCACACACACACGCGCACACAAATCATCAACAACAGCCGCGTTAGCCAGCAGACGACCACTGCATACCACAAGTAACCACTATCACCAACAGCTGAAGCAGCGAGTGAACCGCAACACATCAAAACAACAAAACACAACAAACAAACAACCCAACCCAACCCAGCACGTCCCAACCAACACAACACGAGAACTTGTGATCGGTCAGCTGTTAAATAATTGAGCAGAAGACATATTTTTTCTGGTGTGGAGCAGTGAATTAAAGGAGCCGAACGTGCGATTAACCTGCATGCTTTTAGTGGCTACGTTGGCTCTCTTTATTATTTTATAAGCAGCTTCAATAAGCCAAAGTGTCTGTGTAATTCAGATGTGCTAAAAAACGAACTATCAACAACAGAATGTTGTATGTATTTTGATGTCTTGCATATGATGCATTATTTGTAACTTTAGCATTTTCTGTTTATTTGTATCTATGCATGCATTCATAGATGTGTGCATGCAAATTCTATTGTGCGTAGATATAAAGAAGTGATTCAAGTAACCAGATATAAACATAGCTTGAATCCGAGATATTTTTATATCAGAAAAAAACTTAAAAAAAAAATAAAAAATTAAATAGGCCAACTGAGCTGGACGAAATAAATTGGTTGTTATTGAGAAAACTAAAGTTAACATGTTAAAACTCACAAACCAATATACAAACATACAAACGCATGTATAAAAACATGCATATATACAGACTCACAAACATACATACACACAAACAAACAGACTCACAAACATACAAACAAACAAACGCACACACAAACACACAAGCATACATACAAACATATTTACACATACATACATACATACAAACAAACATACATACATACATACATACATACATACATACATACATACATACATACATACATATAACATACATACATATACACAGTGACAACAACAACAGTAGACGTATGCCAGTCCGAAACTTTCCGACCGACCTGTAATACCGGAAGTGCTGGAGATGCTGGCGATCACGTGGTCGTTGTCCAGAGAGCCGAGTATGGGAGGATGAGTTTGGGCAGCTGCATCAATAGGAACTATTACATAGGTTGGTCACAATGATGATGGTGATGATGTTGATAACCACCACCATCAACATCACCAGCATCATCACCATCATTACCACTATCATCATATC